GTTTACTACTTGTGACTTAAAATATTTGGTCGAGACTCAAGTTGCCAACATTGTAAAATTAGTTGTCTGAATTCATAAAAATTGGAACTGGATTGCAACCTGTGATACCTCTCGGATCCGAGGCACGGGTTGATCAAGCCCAGGCCCAAACCCGAGGGATATCAAACAATTAATATGTTAAAACGAACACGTAATACAAAGTAAATTTAAGAAATAATATAATGAGCTGAAATAAACTAAAATATAAAATCCTTTAACATTAAATACTTAAAATCCCAGATAATAATAATCCAACTCCAGAACCTCCAAGGGTACAACTCGGGAATCCATTCAGTGGACCCCTAATACGAAAACCAAACTGAACTGAAAAACTAAAAGAAAACCATATGAATAGAGCTCCTACGTCATCGGAAGAATGAGTGGTCGCCTCTGCTCAACACGAACAAGCTCAAGCCTGTAATTGACGTACACCTGAAAAATAGGAGTGGGTCAGGCCCACGAATAAGTTCTATCCTACTACAATCCAAGCAGAGACTCGATACGCCTATACACTCTAACCAACTCAACAATAACTGTATAATCCGTGTCTATATATATATATATATCCACACTATGGACTCTCACTGGACTATGATACGGGTCTCAACTTGAGTAGAAGGTAACATGCAAAACGCACCTAAGTGGGCATGACTACCTAAGCCTAACAGGGTACACCTCAACCAGCATAGCCAGCTACGCGTCCTATTGTATATACGTTCCCTAACCGTCGACTCTGAAACTCAAACTCATATAACGGTACCATAATAATATATTTAAAATCCGTTCATATTTATCCATAAGAAATCCAGTAAGTCGTTTAGCTTATTCAACCGCACAGACTTATACATAAGGAGGATTCTATTTTTATAATCCATTCCCTTATTCCAAAGTAGGTAGGACTTAGCAATTTGAGCTAATCCAAACCTAGTATGTCACTGTCCCATACCTGTATATGCAATCCAATCCATCCAACAGTTGATAGAATACATAATCAATGCACATAACAACTGAACCAAAATAAGCATAAATAGAAATATAGACTAACATGCTTACTCCAGTAACTGATAAATAAAAAATATAAGATATATCAATTAATTCCATGATGAACATAAAGTAAATAGATAAACTATCATATTCATCCCATATCTCCATTACAAATTATCTTACTCTGAGCATGCAGATAATTTATTCTCCTCGTCCATAAATCCATGCCAAGTATAAAAATAACCATATTAATTATCATGCTTGTCACTATTAATAATATCATATTAATCAATTTTCCATTCACAGAGAATAAATAAATCAAGGTTCAATAATTTAACATTCCTCTGCACTGAAACAAAACAATTCCTGGCGAGACTTACCAGTGTTCAAGCTATAAACACCTACTAGTTTATTAAGCATTAATCCACTCTCTCAAGTGTTAACTAGACTTAGAACATCTCAAAACACCCAAGTATAGCTTCCTCCAGAATCTGAAAATCCCAAAATCCGAGTTCCGTAGCCCATACAGTCGCAGAAAAACGAAAAACTGAAGAGACTTTGAAGGAGCCGGCTCCAACCAAGTTGGAGCCGCCTCCAAACAAGATGAAGCCGGCTCCAACCCACTTGGAGCCGCCTCCAAGCCCATTTAGAGCCGGCTCCATGATTCCATGGAGCCGCCTCTTCCCCCTCTCCTCCTCTCTGCTTGATTTCTTCCCCTGTGTCTACCCCGGCAACGTCCAGTTCATCCGTCCTAAATTGCTAAGGCTACTACTGGTTAAAGGTATGTCCCAGTGTGATCCAAAGACAAGTTTAATGCCTTAGTTATTCACCGACAACAATCAAAACAAGAGTTATGTAACAGGAAGTTAGAACGAGCAATTTACCATTCAAGAGCACACCATGTTCTAAGTGAATAAATCATGTGAACCAGAGTAATATTAAAGCTTCCCAGAGTGTTATAAACTAATTCAATTCTTTATACATCAGTTTACATGAATTATACATCCAGTTACATAAATTATTTTATGAGTTTCTTAAACGAAGGATTATAAAACAAGCAGTAACTCATGGCTACGTTCAGTTTAAAAATAACAGAGATATGCAAACCAGTTTACTTTTAATCCTTATACATTCCTGGAGTTGCATTAGACATGCAAAAAACATAAGTCAACGGAATAGAGTTAGGATTATAACTTGCCTTTGAGACTTTTGTTCAAAATCTCTACATCGTCTTCAAAAGTTCCGGTGATTCCTACTGAAATCTCTCCTCTGTTCTTTCTCTACCTCCACAGACGTGAATAGGGTTCTAAAACCCTAGGCCTAACTTTATTATGTTTATTTATAGAGTTATACAAAACCTAAATTAATTCAAGCCCTAACAGAATCCTAATCGGCCCAGAGAAAACTTAATTAAAACCTGCGTCGGCTACATACGTGACTTCTAAAAACAAAAACCCTAATTATATTTTCATAACTAATAATTAATTAAAATATTTAATAATCAATTCAATTAAAGGAAAACAATAAATTATACTAAAGAAAACATAATGCAACAAAACAAACAATTTAATTTAATGAAACAACTAAACAAGTCATGTAACTTAAACACACAATTAAACAAGTAACAAGCAATTCAAATAAACAATTAAATAATTTAAAATTCAATTAAAACAAATCAAACAATTTACAATTAATTCACAATTAAATCAAAACAAATTCACCATTAAATAAATAAAAACGCAACTTAAACAATCAAATAAATTCCAGCTCCATCCTTTTAAATTAGGGGTATTACACAACCATATCCTTTATTATTGGGTTCTTAGACTTTACAGTAACGAGTACTGTCTTTCAAGAGAAAAACACTCATAATGTTGAAATTTTGAGCAAATATCACCTTAAGAATTTTTATTTTTATTTTTTTGGTATATAAATGCTTTAAGTTTGAAAAAATGATCAAAGAATGGCTTTAGGTGGTTACAAATTTAGTCATGTGACATTTTTAATATATAAAATTTCAAAAATATCCTTTTCTCTTCTAATGACACCCTTACATATATGAAGAAGGGACAAAAAAAAAAAAAAGAAAAAAAAAAAGAGGGATAATTTAATCATTTCACATATAATTATTTTTTACCTTTTTTTTTAATTCAGCTATAGAGAGGCAATTTAGTCTTTTTAGCATTCAGACTATTATTTACTCAAAATCTGAATGTTATGAATTTTTTAAAAGGTACATTATATACATACCATATAGGTGTGTTTCACTAGCTGCCCATTTATATTTGCCAAACATTACCAAACAATCTAATAATTTAGGGGGAAAGAAGAAAATAAAAAATTTAGGATTAATTTCATTTACACCCCTGACGTTTAACGATATTCCACTTACACTCTTTTTAGGCTTTAATATTCCACCTACACCCCTAACCTTTTCATTTAGGTAGCAAGTTACCCCTGCTGTTAAGCAACAAAAGGTTAATGCTGATGTTAGCTGAAAAATATGAGGACAAAGTCAATTTTACCCTTCTAATATATGAAATGACATTTTTAACCTCATTAACCAAGGCAGAATTACAAAACTATCCTAAACTTATTAACTCAAAAGTACAGCAATGCCATTCTCTATTCACTTTTTCTACTAACCGCCGTCATCACCATCAATGCCACCAATAACCGCCACCATTTTGCGTCACCATCACCACCACCACCATTACCATTGTGCCCACACACTCTTTGTATAACAAAAACTAATCTTCTCAAGCTCATCACAAATAGAAATAAGGACTTTAAAGCATTGAAATCCTCTAGTTTTTCTTCCATTAGGATGATAAGTGAGGGGACCCAGAAATCGATTTATTTGTTTTCCCCTCTGAAACCTTGCATATTTGATATATTTTCTAGCAAACAGTCGAGAACATGGGTATCAAGTGATGAACCCATCTTCTCTGGTGACGCCATCTTCAACACTGACGGCGAGAGCTGGAACTTCCCCGATGTTTTCCTATGGTGCATCTGTGCTATTACAAACTGATTGAATCTTTAAATTCTTACTGTTGGAGTCATTTTGGAAGGCATTTCATCATTAGAGTCCTTGATATCATTGAAAGATTGCCGACTGTCGATGGTGCACCATAATCTGCTTCATTCGCCGAGATTAGCATTGGCAGCGCTTGAAAATTTTCTTGAGCAAATCCCTGAGAAAACTTCTTGTTTTTATCTGGTCGGGGAAAAAAACATGAAAGAGAGGTGAGAAAAAGTTGTCGGAGAAGATGGCGAGAGTTGGAAGTTTTAAAGATAAGTCTCGAGTCCCGGTCGTTTTCCACTTTCCCGATGGTGTATCCATGTTATTTTTTGACGCGATTTTGTGGTCTGATGCCATGAATAAGCATCAGAACATATTCCGAATCAACTGACCGTTAACATATTTACCTCACACGATCGCTCGGTAGCGGCGAGGGTTACATGACGGCAACGGATGCGCAATTCACGATGGCAACACTGTGTTTAAGTGACGAAAACGGTAGCGTGATTCAGGGGACCGATCTTGGATAAGAAGTGCAGGGGTTTTGCTTCTACCGGTATTGATGAGCTTCTCGGTGCGATTCCGGTATCGGGATCGATCTTGCGCGCGCTACCACCCAACAGCCGAAGAGGCCCATGTCTATAACCAACCGGTTCCTATGAGTCTCACATTGAAAGAGGGTGAATGAATAAATAGAGAGAGAAATGAGGGTATTTTAGTCTTTTCATTTAATTTACAAATCTCTTTATAAATATCACTATATAATTCGTGGGCAATATCGTAAAAGCACACATTTCCAATAGTAGAGTGGACGGCCATCAATAAGAGGGGTGTAAGTGAAATATTGAAACCTAAAAAGATTGTAAGTGAGATATGATCAAAGATAAGGGGGCGAAGGTGAAATTAACCAAAAATCTACTAATAATTTCACATACCCCGCCGTATTCAAGAGAAATATTTGGCAAGTAAAAGGCCTTCCGAAAAATCTGGACAATTACCACAGGCACGTGGCGCAACATCATCTCCCTCCTCCCACAATTGTAAATCATGCCTTCAATCTCACCTGTGTGTGTTTCTGGCTGTTACAATCTGTAAATCATGTCTCGCCGAGGTAATTTGAGCCCTTTTTGTCTTAAATCATGCTTCGATCGACTATAATGTTTCCTTGCTGTTCTCTAGGGTTTGCTCTCCGTAATTCTGTTATTTATTTATTATTTTTTTGGGTTATTTTTCAACCTTTATTTTTTCGTTAGAATAGTTGTTGCAAAATTTGTAGTTTATAAGGTAATTGAGCAAAAGAAGATGCCAAGCTACTTACTCTTTTTATTTTCCCTCAAAATATGGACTTCAGATTGCTGTATGAGGAGGAATTGTTTTATTTATTTATTTATTATTATTATTTTGATTTGAAACTCTGATTTGGTATTCTTCTTTAATTTATTTAGTTTGATTAACGTCCTCCTTAATTTGTGTAGTTGCATTTTTAGGGTTTGATTTTCAGCTGTCCGGGTATTGTCTGTACGAGTTATAATTATGCGTTGATAGCATTTTAGCATGTATTCTTACAATGTTGTCTTTCTTAAATATGTGTTACATGATTGAACTGATGGTAGATCTGTTTAGGTGGACTGGTCCATAATCAAACTGTGATTTTTCATTAGTTTGTCTTCTTTGTCTCTCTCTCCACACACACACATATTAATAATCCTTGGTAATTCCCCTGTCCGTATTAAACTTGTGTGCCGCCATGTTTTGAACTAAGGATTGTGATTGCCCCAGGTCTCTGATGTTTCTTTTGATAGTGGGTGCCGTGTGTGATTCGATCTGAGACTCTGGCAACTTCACCTTGTGTTTTTAACCACTCCTTCTTTGCCAGCTTATACCCATTGTCAGCTAACAGTTGTCTCATCTAATCCTTTTGTGACCGCTCTCACCATCCGCCTTGTGTCGATCAGCTTAGACAAATTCTCAATAAACCACTGCGAGGCAGAATTGAATGTTGCCTCCCCAAGGACTCCCCACCATACAACAAAACACAAAGAGCACAAGTTTGATTGAACCTAAAATGGCCTTGTTGAGTTCCTTTCTACTTTTTTTCTCCTCAAGTTGCCTTATAGTTATAGGCGCCTCTTGAGCTGTGAACGCCCGGCAAGGTTTCCGAAGCTTAAGGTATATTGAATGCATTGATCCTTTGTGTTTTATCAAGTGCCCATATTTTCATTCCGGGGGTCTTGCTTATTGGCCTTTTGATTTGAAAGCTCTCTGGTCCAACGATGGAAGCACAACCAAGCTTGGTTCGTAAGGCTTGAAAGACATCTTTAGACAGAGCTTTGGTGAATACATTAGCATTCTGTGAGTGGGAAGGCACTCATTCTGTGACCAAAGAACCAAGCAAGCTTTCTCCCGAACAAAGTGATAATCAATCTCAATTTCTTCCCAAAACTGTTCCTGTCTTGAGTGTCGGTTAGGTATTATAGGGTAGGACGTTGAGCACATAAATAAGCCCGGGGTTGCAGATGGTGAGACAGAAAAGGAAAAGTCGTACGCGGGGGGATGTGACTGAGTCCTCTCCTGCTGCTTTGCCAGGCTCTCTAATAGGAAAGGAAAAGTAGTATGCGAGGGATGTGACTGAAGCCTCTCCTGCTATTTTGCCACCAGACTCTCTAACTGCAATTTCCCTGAAAACTCTAGAAATGTGAAGAGTAGCGGTCAGTAAGACCTGCTTATACTACTGCAACGAAAGAAACTACATAAACCCCTCCCTTACAAGTTCTCTAAGGCATTGAATGGCAAGCTAACACGACTTGTAATTAAAGAAAGTGGAAAGAAATCCCAACAGCGGCTTTACGAGCCTAAAATGGATGGTGGATGACGGGTTTTTCCATGAACCGGATTGGATCTGACCTCAGAAGGAAGGCTTGTTTTTTTGGGGGTTGGGGGGGGGGGGGGGGGGGGGTGTGGTGGGGGCGCGGTGTGGGGGTTAAGAGGAGAAGAAAATAGATGCTTTTCTTGCTATGTCTATCTCTGTAGATAACCCCTAATATTTTGAGTAAGGTTTGGTGAACTATGGTTCAATATCTGTCTTATTCATGTTACCACGTGTGCTTTATGAATGAATCTGACCACTTGGGTGGAAGGGGCGGTTGTGTGGGTGGGGTTGGCTCCTGGTGTGGTGTTATTTATGCACGCTAGGGTTTTGAAAATAGGTATTAGTTACTTTTTGTCTCGATCGTAAGAATGTAGGATATACTCATATTAGATCCCGTCCCGGCCAAAATGACATGAATTTAAAAAATAATGCCAAAAGACTAATCAGTCTGCTACTGTTCAAAAATAACAATGTGCTTTTGGATCATTTAAAAAAAACAAAAAATGTAAATATGTTATTTGACAATCATTGAGTATGAAGTCCTGAGATATTAAAATTCTGTTACTTGTTCAATCTCGTGAATTTTGAATACTTGTGAAGAGAGCTGCCTTATTTGTTTTTCTAAATCATTGCTTCTAAGATCTATGTTGACTATTTGAGGCACATGTTACATATATTTCCAGAAGAAAGGTACATATATATTAATTGTTAGATACACACGTGTTTCATTATGATATTGGCAAGCTGAGCTAAAATGTCGAAGTGTCTTATTCTGTTAACTTGTTACTATTATTATTATAGTTGATCTTGTCCTTTATTTGATTATGTTAACATTGCTACTTACGCCGTTACGTGGCATCCTGTATTATTTTGTTTCGGAAATTTACCCCCCATTTATATTATTCGTTCTCCTTTTGTCTTTCTTCAATATTAATTATATTTTTTGTTGTTCTTTACATGCAAAAAAGCTGCTACTGATATTTGATCAATTGCTTTTAGAGAGTCCTACCTCCTTGACTCCCTAGTTGTGCAATGTTTTTGGTCATTGTTTATATAGATAGAGACCCATACCTTTTTCCCCTAGCGATGAATGAACTGACAAGAGACATTCAAAAGAGATTCCATTGTGTATGTTATTTGTAAATCGCTGTGGCCAAAGGAGTTAGTGCCATATTGGAGGCTTGGAGGGGAACCTTAGAATTAAAAGAGTTGAAGACAAGTAGAAATTAAACTAGATATATGGAGTGGAACGTAAATAAAAATAGAAATACAAATGAGGATGTTGTGAAGATAGAGAATTACGAGGTACAAAAAACTAAACATTTTTGTTACTTAGGCTCAATTATCCATAATGAAGGGGAAATTAGACATGAATTTTAATCATAGAACCAAGGCAGGATGGGTTAAATGGAGTAGTGCATTTAGTGTATTGTATGATCGGCGTATTCTGTTAAGATTGAAAAGGAAGTTCTATAAAGCAACTATTAGACAACCACACTTCATAACACGGAATGTCGGGCAGTTAAGAAACAACATATGCATTGAGTGAGTGTGGTAGAAATGTGAATGTTGAGATGGATGTGTACTGATACTAGAATTGATCACATTCTTGAAATGGTTGGAGTAGCACCAAATTGGTGATAAAACGAAAGAAAATTGGTTAAGATAGTTTTGGCATTTGCACAAAAGACCTTTATGTTTGTCACTTAGGAAGAGTGACATAGTACACAATACACATTGAGTGGCATTTGCATGGTAGAAATGTGAATGTTGAAATTAAAGTGGATAGAGTTAGTAAGGAATGATATGATAACATGTGGATTGATTGCTCTTACCTTTAGCAGGGCAAAAAATGTGTTTTAACTGAGGCCATGGTCTTAGGTGAAACAGAATGGAAAAAATATGATTGATGTAGCGGACCCCCAGTAATTGGGAAAAAGGCTTTGATTGTTGTTGTTGTGTATATATATACATAGAGAGATATGTATAGATTGGTAGATATCTGATAGCATGATAAATTTGATCTTTATAATATTGGTAATATCTATATAATGCTGATTTTAATTTGATAGATGTGACTTTCTGTTTCTTCTGCTCATTTGTCATTAATAATGTAGTTGAAATTTTGTTATATATGGCTTTGACTTTGCAGGAAGAACTTTTAAGTCTCGATCTTTCTGCTTTTCCACCTTATTTGGTAAGAAATTGTTGCCGTTCTTTATTTGATTTCAAAACCTTTATTTCATGTATTTAAGGCCGCATATTTCACACAATACTTGTGACAGTGCAAAGTTTGCTTTACTTAAGTGGTGATTATATGCTGCTATCTCAGCTAAAAGATGTCAAATTCCATTTGTCTTATATCTACCACACATGCACGATTATAGTCACTAATGTTTTGGGTACTGAAATAGAAGTTTTACTTTTGTTCGGTGTTTAAAATCATATGAGAAAGAGAGAGAGAGAGCAACCATATCTGTATATTCAACACCTTAAACCTAATAAGCCTATGTAGGCTTATATAAAGGGTACAAGTCTTACTTAATAACACAAGGGCCCTATCAAATATATGTAATTACATAATGACCCAACACATGTATATATATATATATATATATATATATAACATTCTAACACTCCCCCTCAAGCTGGAGAATATATATCAAATAATCCTAACTTGGAACATATAGTTCTTAAGCGGTTATGACCCAATGCTTTGGTAAACATATCAGCTAATTAATCTTCAGACTTCATGAATGGAGTAGAGATGCTCCCACGTAATATTTTTTCTCGAATGAAGTGACAATCAACTTCCATATGTTTGGTCCTCTCATGAAACACAGGATTTGATGCAATGTAAACTACTGCTTGATTATCACCAAACAATGGAGTAAGAGCTTTAACCGTCAACTCAAGTTCTTTTAGAAAATTTTGTATCAATGTCAACTCACTACTGTTATGGGCCATTGGCCTATACTCAGCTTCAGCACTAGATCGAGCTACCACCGTTTGCTTTTTACTTCGCCATATACTAAGATTTCCTCCTACAAATGTGCAGTAGCCTGTAGTAGATCTCCTATCTGAAGGAGAACCAGCCCAGTCAGCATCTGTAAAACCTTCCACCCTGAGATGGCTATTTCATTTATATAGTAACCCAAAACCTGGAGCTTGCTTGAGATATCGGATAATCCGAAGAATAGTAATCCAATGTGGCATTCTAGGGGATCCCATGAACTGACTTACAACACTAACTGCATATGAAATATCAGCTCGAGTGATAGTGAGATAAATTAATTTCCCAACAAGGCGACGAAATCTGCTCGGGTCATTAAATAAATCACCCTCATCAGACACAAGTTTTGTATTTGAATCCATAGGAGCATCAACCGGACGACCACCCAACATACCTGTTTCTTTTAATAAGTCCAACATATATTTTCGTTGGGATAAACTTATACCCTTCTTGGATCTAGCAACTTCAATACCCAAGAAATACCTAAGTTTACCCAAGTCTTTAGTGTGGAATCGATATTGTAGAAACAACTTCAACTTAGCAACGCCTTCAGAATCATCTCCTGTTATCACAATATTATCTACATACACCACAAGAAATATTAAGCCAGCCTTAGTGCGCTGGTGAAACACCGAATGGTCGGTCTGACTTCTGTTAAGACCAAATTTTAATGCCACCTAAGAGAATTTTCCAAACCAAGCCCGTGGAGATTGTTTCAATCCATATAAAGCCTTTTTAAGGCGACAAATAGTGTAAAGATACTCCCCCTGAGCAACAAACCCAGGTGGTTGCTCCATATAAACCTCTTCTGCTAAGTCACCATGCAAAAAGGCATTTTTAACATCTAACTGAAACAGAGGCCAATTTCTATTAGTAGCAAGAGAAATCAAAACACGAATAAAAGAAATCTTAGCAACGGGGGCAAACGTCTCATCATAGTCAATACCATAAGTCTGGGTATAACCTTTGGCAACAAGACGTGCTTTTAAACGCTCAACGGACCCATTGAGAAGATACTTCACAGTATATACCCAGCGACAACCAACAGGTTTGGCACCTAGAGGTAATGGAACAAGATTCCATGTGCCATTCTCATGCAAAGCATCCATTTCATTTTGCATTGCTTTCCTCCAGCCCGAATCAGACAAAGCATCCTGCACAGTATGCAGCAAAAGAAGCATCAGTTTCCTTGAGTTTATCTTTAGTCAGATGAGTACCAGGACCTCTGCCTTTGAGAAAAATTGCAACAAATTTAGCCCACAGTATGTAATTCTTCCCATTGAGTTTAACTGAAGTCATGGGAGAATGAAGATTGGACGTGGGAGAAAGTAAATCGGAACTGGACGCCATGGTGAATGCAACAAAAACAGAGAACAAAAAAAAAATAATTGCAGAATCTGTATTCTGGATGAACCTGTCGAACAGGCCGGATCTGGCCGAATGGATCGGAACTGATCGAACGGGCCGGATCTGGTCGAACGGGCCGGATCTGGTCGAACGGGCCGGATTTGGGCTATCCTAGGTTTAGTAAACTAGGGTTGGAATAGCATAACTGTGTAGCCAAACACGGGTCTTCTTCTACACACCTTTACAAACGCCGGTGAGCAACGCAGCGGAGGCGACAGCAACTTAATCATAAGCAACGGCCGAATCAATAAGCAGCGACCGCTGCAACTTCTGGCCAAAAAAGACGAACCTCACCTCTGCAAGTCGAGACTGCAGATGTCAGCGAGCTCGCTGACAACCAAAGAGGAGCTGTCGGCAACGACGAACAAGGCAGAGACGACGACGAACAAGGTAGAGACGACGACGAACAAGCTTCAGATCTGATGACGACGACTGAGGCTGTAGATCTGACGACGACGGTGAACGATCTTTAGATCTAACGATGAACAAGAAACAGAGACCACCAACACCACAATCGCGATGCCGATCTTATACAAGAACAACCCAATTATAGACTCTCACACCCATGATCGTGTTGCTCTGATACCATGTTTAAAATCATATGAGAGAGAGAGAGAGAGAGCAACCATATCTGTATATTCAACACCTTAAACCTAATAAGCCTATGTAGGCTTATATAAAGGGTACAAGTCTTACTTAATAACACAAGGGCCCTATCAACTATATGTAATTACATAATGACCCAACACATGTATATATGTATATATATATATATATATATATATATATATATATATATATATGACATTCTAACATTCGGAAAATATCAATGTATTTTTTTTTTTGGCGGTTAACACATGGATTTCTAAAATCCCTGTTATTAATGCAATATATTGATTCCTGTAGAGCTATATAAATATGGAGAGTGCCTGATTGTTATAAAGATATTTTTGTATTGAAAAGCAAGCACACTTTTTTTTAAAGACTTGGGAGTTTGTAAAATAATTTGAGAACGTGAATCACATACTGTAACTGTAAGATGGAATGCATGAACACGAATCACATACTGTAACTGTAAGATGGAATTTTCATTATACACAAAATACAGATCATATATTGTAAAATATATTTTTTATTATTTATAGGTATAAAATTCATGTTAAAATTTGGACTTCATTTTATTTTACTATTATTATTAATATTTTGATAAAAATGGAATTTTATGCAGTATGTGTAACTTTTGAAAAGTCTTTATATTATTTAGTTTTTTTAATATATTTTGTTGATAAATGTAATGAATGCAAATAGTTCCCTCCCTCACACACCAAAAAAAAAAGTGTCTAAAACATTTTTTTTTCAATGTTATGTACAAAAGTTTTAAAAAGCAGTACATGCATAAAATAAAAATAAAAGGGGAGATGCAACTTTTGGTTCGATTATAGAAGACATAGTTATAGGATGAAAGTAACACACGACCTAGGACCTTTACGCAAAGCATGGTTAAAGAGTCATACTCAGTACATGGTGCCTGATCCAAAGACTCTGAAGAAGACGGATGAATCACAGTAGGCAGCTTGGGTCTCCGAGTGTAAACCTGTAATGGAGCAGTAGATTGGGGAGGAGCAGGGTTAGGGGATGATTTAGGAAGAGGCAATGAGACAGTTGGCAAATATAGTCTAAAAGTAGGAGTGTAACAGCAATAACCCTTCCAAGTGTGAGAATGCCCAAGAAGCACACATTTAGTTGCACGAGGATTAAGTTTGTCAAAACTAGGTCCAAGGTTATGAACATAGCATACACACCCAAACACTTGAGGAGTAAGAGTAAACAATGTTGAAGTAGGAAACCCCTAGGGGTTCGCTCAACTGGGTAATTCGATTCCTCTTGGGTGCAAATAATTCATGTTTGGGTGGAAATAAGACAGAATGGGAAAAAAAAAAATTGATGAAGGAAATAAGACAGAATGGGAGATGTCCTTTCAAGACAGAGGACAGCATACAGGATCTTTCATTAGAAACAACTAAGTCATACGAGAATGATCATCCACAAATGTTACAAAATAATGAATTCCATTACTAGAAACATGCTTTTGGACCCCATACATTTGAATGAAGTAACTGAAAAGAACTAGAGACACGGTTATTTACCCGAGATTTATAAGACACACGGTGATGCTAGCTGACAAGCTTCACATGACAGAGACAAAACACGACTAAGACTCGGGACTTGGCGCTGCAAAACAGGGTGGCCAAGACGACAATGCCACTGAGAGAGAGAAGACTGAAAGGCTTGGGGTTGATGCTCAAAATTGAAGTAATACAAGCTACCTACTTCATGCCCCAAAACAATCTTCTTCTTCGTCTTGAAAGCCTGAAAACACAACCCGAGGGATATAATGTAACATAACACTGAAGAGTTTTAGTAATCTTACTAATAGACATCAAATTAAATGGGAATTGAGGAACGTATAAAACGGAGGAGAGATACATAGTAGAACTAAGATGAGTTGTTCCTAAACCTAAACCCTTAGAAGATGATATTCATCTCATGGGATAGGAATCATATTAGACTCCACAACCTGCGGAGACCCAGTGGATGGAGCTAGTCAACCAGGAACATCATCTTTATAGAATACCTGATTCGTATAAATAGATGGTTTTGGTTTGCCATGCAGATCCCAATAATAATTAACAGGAGACCGCAGCGTTTACATTTTCGGGATTCTTTACCTCGGCCACGGCCAACGGTCACCATGTGTGGAACGATCGCCCTGGGAGACAGGTAAAGCTGCTAGGTCCACCCTGGGAGACAGTTAAATCTGAACGTTACCGGAAGCGCCACTAGATAGGATAGCTCCTTTAGAGTCAAAAATACTTCAGGAAGAGATGGAGGTGTGAGAATGCCAAAAATCTGTGCACGAGTCGGCTCATACGCCGATGACAACTCAGTGAGAACCTTCCTCAAGGCCAAAGTACTGTTACACACCTCATAATGTGTGTGATATTACCAGTTCCTGAATTTAGTTGCATTAGGCGGTTCCAAATGTCCTTGGCAATGTCCAGATACAATTAAGAGGAACTAATTTGGGGTTCAATACAGGTGAATAATAGAGACATAATCTGAGCATCCTTCTGTACCACAAACTGAAATTAGGGTCACTGTCCTTTGGTTTTTCCTTTACCAAATGACTACCAAGTCCTTCATCTTTGAGAAATATTTCCATTGATTTTGCGCACAAGGTGTAGTTTTTCCCATTAAGCTTGATTAAGGTCATTGGAGGATTAAACGAGACTGTATAAGAGAACAAGTCAGAACTAGAGGCCATGATTCTGGATAAAGTATGCAAATTCTGGTTACTAGTATAGGAGAAACCAAACGTAATAGATAAAAGAGGAACACAAAACAGCTACCGGAATATGCAAATTCTGGCTGGAATTAATCCAGTGAACTCAGTTGGGCCGGGTCCAACAAACAGGTGGCGCTGAATTCTTTCAAATCGAATCAAAACAATCTTAGTTCATTGAAAACCCTAATGTGTGATGGCTGCAACCAGATTGATGACAACAATACTTCAACAAACTGAACGATGGCCGACGAACGATGACTCAACCACAACACCATGGGCTCTACCACAATACTACACAAAGATACATTGATCGTGCGACTACCACAACAAAAAATTGACCACTATATTGGTCACGATTACATACCGATAGATGATGAGGCTTTCAACCATCGACAACTAGGCTGCAGATGATTGAGGATGAGGCTGCCGATGATTGAAGATGAGGCTTCTGTTGGCGCACGAAGAAATGGAAAATCAAACGATCTACCTAGGTTTGTGCTTTGATACCATGCAAAGTTTAGGGTTATAGAATTAGTGTTAGATCACAGATCAAGGAGAGATCATGAGAGAGAAAATTGGAGAAATGGCGTAAGAGAGAAAGAATCTATGATCCTATCTCAACCTAATCTCATATATATATATGTATATGTATAAGAATAAAGGAACAATGAAAAATACTAAAATGCCCTTGAGGGGTAAACTTATTACATATATGCTCCAATATAACTATTCTAACTGTTTTTAGTACAATTGATTCTCTATTTGGACTGTATTGGATGGTGAGTTTGCGTTAAATTGTAAAAATAAATGGAAGAGATGCTTCGTGTAATTTATTGCCTTTTTTCTTGCTTCATTAAGTTACTAGTTGGGATGCCTTCTCTCTAAATTTAACATGCATATTCTTTTGTGGTTCCGATTTGCAGGAACTGGTTCCTTGCTTCAAGCAGCTGCAGCCAGCAGGAATATTTTTTCTAGCTCCGATTCAGTGTTTGATGCTTTTGGTACTGGTACTAAGGCTATTGATGTGGAAATCGACATTCCTCGTGTATGCGATATGTATCGCAAATTCTTGCAAGCGGTGAGTGTTTCTCATCGCAAATCACACAGAATAATTGATGAATTGTATAAAACTTGCTTGAGCTTCTTCCCCATCCCCTCCCTCCCTTCTTCTTTGGCGTATTAAGCATAGTTTTGCCTTTTTTATGATACATATAATATATGTATATATATTTTGAAACCTGTTAATTGGAGTCCTATAATTCAAGAAAAAAAAAATTCTTTGTCCCGATCTTTTGAACCCTTTCCAGATTGATTATTTTCAGCTAATTCTTAGGTTATATATATAAAAAAATTCTAATAATCAGATCATACAAGTTTTGTTGTTGTACACTCTATGATGATATCATAATTGGAATTACAAGTTGAGATTTTTGTGATCCAATTTCTTTTTTCTTTTATTTTTAATGCATTTTTTTATGAGTATTCTTTTAAATGTGTTGTCACCTCATCTATGTATTTATAAGTATTGTTCTCTAGGTGTCTAGATTACTCCTGTTTCATTTCCTTTCTCTTTGATTTGGAATTCTATATTTCCATGATATGGCTTCAAACTCTAGCTCCATATTGTCTCAATTTTCAATCACTAAAGTCTTTGAATCTCTCATCAATTTGAGGCTCCTCTTTAAGTCCTACAGTAATGGATAAAGCTGTCCTATTTACCAAAGTCTTTGAATCTCATCAGAGGGGGTGATTACTCTGTTTTTTGTGGTGCTTCAGTATAGTGAACAGATTAAAGATATTTCTTGTGTCGATTCATTTGTGTTTTTTTGCTTTTATACTCTTAGGAGTTTACTTGGGTTTGTTGAGAATGCTCTGATTTTACATCTTAGGCCTGTGGAGTTCTCCTCGACATTGTATTGGTTGTTTGATGAATAAGATCTTCTCACTTACTTTATATATATGTGTGCGTGTGCGTGTGTGTGTATGAAAGAAAGAAAAAAAGGAACTCCATTAATCTGGTTCAGTGAGGCTTTAAATCAATATGATGACAATGGTGGATTATAGGGTTCTGACGTGATTTTGATCGCTAGTTGGATCGATGTTATGCTCCCAATTGTATCAGAAGAGAGAGTATGATTCCAATGAATGCAGGAGAGAGAGAGAGAAAAAAAAAAAAAAATTGGGGAAAAGGGTAACGGTTAGATATTTGGGAGAAAATTATGCAGTAATTCAATATTAAGGCACAAAGCATAATACTGTGTGTATTGGTACATATCGTTGCCTTTTTAGTTATTCCCCATGCAGCGAACCACCATATGAGTTTAATTATTTCTATGGTTTAATAAGGCATTGACATAAAATGAAACTCAACTGTTGTGACCGTTCTTAGTGTAAGTTCTCTTCTGATAATCATGCATAAATTTCTTCTTTAACTAGTTCATTGTTTTTTTTTTTTGGGTTCCCCCTAATAACTGTGTTTTCTTTTCCTAACCTATAATGCAGCAATGCATAGACAAAAAGGGGACTTACAAAGAGTGCGCGATGTACCGCAGGCGTCTTGCGAAGTACTCGTGTAAGGTTGAGGATGCTAAATGAGACTTCTGCAATAGTGTTCCCTTTGAAGGTTCATGCAAATAGTTTCTGAGAAGAATGAACTGATAAATTGCCAGAGTGTAGAAACACAGACAACCATGGGGATGGCACTTTAGAATTTAAAAGCTCAACCTTCTCCCTTTCTTTAAAAGCTCAAACTCTATGTTGTCTGATTGTTATTTTTTATGTTCTTTCTATTTAAAAAGTTAATTTTGTTTATAGATTTGAATGAAATACATATCCATAATTTTAAATAAATTGGTCCAATTATGAGTAGAAAATGGGCATCTAGTAATAAATTTTATTTGGTAGAATTGCTCAAAGCACTCGATCATCTTTTGATTAGCCTAGTAAGTTTGTTGGTTGCTTCGCAAGTGCAACATTGGAGTGAGTTTAATCCGGTGTTATTCGTGAGTATGCATTTCTAAAACAGGCCTAGTTGTGATAAGTTTTTGGCTTGCCTCCTGCAAAATGTAATCCGGTGTTATACATTTCATTAGCCATGACCCCTTTCCGTAGCCCCACCTACACCACCACCACCACCGCCACTACCTTCCCTTGCTGGTTCCCTCACATTGCCCACCGATCTCTGTCCAACCCTTCGATTGTGCCTTCTCTATGTAGGTGTGGATTGGCATCTTGCTTGGGGTTTGTAGCTTCCTGGCCATTTCAGATTGGAGTGTTACTATGTGGACTGAGAAATCAAACTCCCCAAAGGCCTTTGTTTATAGAATTTGCTTTGCTAGCTGTGACTTTTTTTTTTTTTTTTGAGGGAGAGAAATAGGCACCATTTCTCTAATAAAAGCAAGCTTCCATAGCCACAGTGAAGAAGATTTATCTACAATTGCGTTCGAAGCAGGCTGATGTCATGCAAACTTAGTGGTTGTAAGGAGGCCAGAGCCATTGCTGCTGCTTGGAGTCTCCCAAGCACAGTGCTTAATAAGTGTCTAATGATGCAGTTGTGTTTTTGTTTGTCTTTGGGCTTGTTAAATTAGGGCTTGTGGGCTGGTGGTTTGGGCTTCACTCTTTTGTATAATGATTTACTCGTAGTATATATACACACACACACACACAGTATATATAGAGAGAGAGAGAAAGAGAGAGACTATGGTGGTGCTTTGATGGTTGAAATGGCTTCAAAGGTCCGAATATGGCATTAAGGAATGTATATAAATACTAAGAAGTATATGCGGAGTACTGCAGTGATGATGATCATTAGTGGGAGACAAACACTGAGGGAGGGATTCAGTTGCGGAGTTGGAGAGAGAGAGTTGCAGAGGTGGAGAGAGAGAGGGTGCGGGGACAGGTAGTACATGTAACGCTCGTACGCTGGTTTTGCTAAAAGACAAATCCGCAGCATTACAGTTGGCGGGGAACAAATCTCCAATGGGTTATGGAAACAAAAAGCATGAAAGACAAAAATGAATTACAGGTGTCATTTATATACAGTAAAATATTAATTTATGGTTTCATGCAGTATTTTCACAATTTAGTTTTGCAAATGGTAACTCCTTCCCAAAATCTAATGTGTGTTAGCCAAAAGGGAAGAAAATAGTTGTGATATAGACTATCAAATTACTGATGCATAATAAACTTATTGTCAATGAAACATAGAAATTGAATACAATAGTATATAGTAATACTTCATAAATAATATTGATTCATAATACCCAACTTAATGGAAGAAAAGAACATTCATTTAAACATAATCTGAAAATAGAAATCAACATTAACACTAATCTTCTTTCAAACCCAACCCCCCAAAATCAGACCAAAATCAGACCGCCATTAAAACAAGTCCTTCCAATCCACTCCTCCATCCTCAACGCCATTTCCTCCATCCTCACCGCCATTTCCTCCATTTTCTGGTTTCACAGAGCTTGCGCCGTCTTCTGGATTTGCAGCACCATCCTGGCTACCATTTTCCCCTCCATTCCCCTGTTTTGGGGCACCACCAGCACCGGCGATGGGCTTCTTACCCATTGCCTCTTGGCTGAGTAACTGCTGCAGCAGAGCTTCTATGTTGTTGAGCTTCTGGTTCTGCTCATCCAGCTTCTGGTTCTGCAACTCTTGAAACTCATCGAGCTTCTTGTCCTGCAAAACTTTCATGTCGTCGATCTTTTGGTTCATCACTTCGTACAGGTGGCGAGAGACCTCATCGTCTTCAATCACGCCGACCTTTTTCATGGCCTTCGTTCCAAGCTCCAATGTTCCTGCTAAAACATTCAGCTGACTCAATCTAGTGTACATTCTGTCCGTGAAACTTTGTTGCAGCAGATCCTTCACACCCTAAAATTAATCAAACAACATGAACTCAAATCAACCCCCCTAATGAAAATAAATCAAACATAATAACAAGAACTTTTAACCAACCCAATAATGAAAATAAATCAAACAACGAATTTAAAAAATGTATTAATCACCTTCCTGTTAACTACAACCAAAGCATGCTCAGGTCCAACAGTTGCAGAGTGCACAATGTGCACCTTCAAACGCCTTCCAATAGTTGACTCCAAGTTCCTCAAAAATTTGTAGGCTCCCTGAGCACCTCTCATCTTCAAAAACAGAGAAGAAAATCAAAAATAAAGACGAGTTGTGCAGACAGAGTCTGTGTAGTGTGTAATATGTATAGAAAAGTAACTATAGTTAAAATGTGTAACATGTACAGGGAAAGTAACTATAGTTAATTTTTTTTAACCATAGTTACCTAACACATGGAGGGCAAAAAATAGTTTCTGAAGAAGATAAGGACCTAAAAAATTATATTTCAAAATTTAATTTAATTGGGTTAATCTCTTGAGACATGATTTGGGAGATGAAATTTGTATTTCAGTCTTGGTTGAAGTATGAATGTGTGAGTTTATTTTAACTTAAAAAATAAATAAATAAATAAATAAGGAGTCATTGGACTTGTATTTTTGACATTTATTTTTCACCTTACTTTTGTCACGCTATCAAATCCAAACTTGTCAAAACATTTTACCTCTAATCATTAATCCTGCATACATATACGTTCACCATTAGTCTAATTAATTAGCTGAAAGCACGGCTTGTACAAATGCACAAGAAATCTTAGCTTCATATTTTGGCAATTAAAATGGTGACTTCTTGAATCAGCCTCTCTGATGATATTACTCTGCTGTTCTAATGGGTGAGAGTGGTGGACATGAAGTGTAAAAAAAATGGTAATTTTTTTTTTTTTTATTTTTTGAGTTGGAAGAAAAGGAATGAAAGTTTCAATAGGGTTTAACAAGTGATTTTGTAAATAATTATAAGATTAAAATTAGTATTATATATTTGTATAGTAGCTTTTCAATTTTGGATGGATAAAAAACTTTCCAAACATATAGGCTTAAGAGCCCAGGAGAAATGTTTCATCCCCTTTCAAGAGCGCCCTACTTAAACATCAAATTGATCATTTGAGATTGAATAATGAATTAATAATCCTATTCGGTAATTACTCCCAACATCATTACTCTTTAAAATAAATATTTTTTTTATAACTAATTATTTTATAATTAGACAAATCTACTTTGGGCTGACATACTCTATCTCTCTCTGCGCTTTATCTCTTTAATGTAAGAGAAAAAAACATTGAAGATCATGCAATATTAGAGATGAGTATTTACAAGAGATGAAGGTAAGATAATTAATTAGTGATATTATATAAATCTTAATTATTAGCTCATATCAACCATAACCTTGTCTTAGATCGCACAAAAACAATGAAATAATGGGGCTTATGAAACTAGTTAAGGCCTGGTTTAAGTCTCTGTAAAACAGGTGCTAAACCATAAAGTATATGGACCTCTCATGGTCTTGGTGGGTTGAGTATGTGCGGATAGAATACTTAACAAAAAATCGATATTGATAATATACATTCAAATTCATAATTTCTCGGTGACATGATCAAATAAAATCTCCTAAAAAAATTCGTTACAATTGTATGAAGATTTAATCAAACAAGACACATGCTGACTATATAAACTATTCAATATATTATCACATTGGAAGAAATTGTTTAGAAATAATAACCATAAAAAAAATCAAGACTGATCCAATTCACAAATCTAAGCGCGCGCACACCCACACATATATATAATGTGTATTAGTGGAGAGAAATTATGTAGGCAAGGATCACATATTCGAGCTGATTATTATTAGAACCATCGTCAATCAAAAAATATATATATCAATAGCTTCATTTTCCTCTGTTAGATAGAAGAACAAAGAGGAGAGAGAGTGTGTGTAAAATAGAGGGTAGAATTGTCTAATCATAAAAAAGCATTTTGTGGAATAAATTTCAATTAGTCACTTGTTAAGCATTTTAAGTTTTAAATTTGGTCACTATTTTTTTTACTTGATGGGAGTCACTTTTAGAGCATTTATTTTATTTTTATTTTAAAGTTTTATCACTCAAATTTAATTTTTTCAAAAGAAAATCAGTAATTAGTAAAAATAATCTGAACAATGCGTGAAAAACCCTCTCTCTCACACGTGTGCACACACATTGTGAGTAGTGATGAGCCGGACATTTGATATTTACAGACAATTTTGAATTAAATTACAGAGTAAATTCTAGCGTGTTACAGCCGTGCATGTTGATAGGCAAAAAAAAATTAAATTTCAGCCTTGCATAAGCTTCAGCTTCTGGGGCACTAGCTTCAAATCTTAGAAAAAACTAGCTTAAACAAAAAATTTAGTAACAAATTCATGTATAATTTATTTATTTAAGATATATAAATATAAATAAATATATATATATATATATATGGGTAAAGTACAGCCACACTCTCTGAGGTTTGGTAAAAGGACACTCAGATAAAACTTACCTATTTTTTTTGGACAAAGACACCTCCTGAATATTCAAAAATGGACAAAGACGCCCCCATTTACATGAAAAATTGACCAAATTACCCTTTGACAGTTTATGAGACTTTTTTAACTTTACAATTTAATAAATTGGACCAATCTACCCTCATGAACAATCTATGCATAAAAAATAAAAAGTAACAAAAAAAAAAAAATTTGTATTGTTAATGTCCCAACTTCTTAAAAATGTAGACGTGTAAAATGATTTTTTGATCTAATACACATATTTCAAATAAATTATATTTTGTTATTACTTCTTTTCTTCTTTATTTTTTTTTCCTTTATTTTTTTTTTTTAAATTAAGATGCTTAATTCTTTCATTTAAAAAAATTAAACCAATCTATTTTCCTTAAAAATAAAAAATATGGTACCAGTATAACTTTATGCATCTTAAATTATATATCAAATA